AAAAAAAAAAAAAAAAAAAAAAAAAAAAATCCAGAACCCTAGCCACCAGTGATTGGCCACGGGTCTGGGACAAAAGCTGAGCCAATCAGAACTGGAATTAGAGAAGGTCATTTCTTTCCAATCTGGTGGTGGAATTTGGAAGACAGGAGTCCGAGCATTGCTGTTGGCCATGGCTCAAGCCTCAGGAGATAGTTGTCTATGAAGGGGAGTCAGCATGAAGTGAGAGGCAGAGAAGAGAGGTCAAGGATTTAGAGACCCTGGTTTAGGTTTTCCTGGAAGCCAGTTGCACCCCTGCCCTGCGTGGAGTATTCACATATGCCCACGAGTCCCTGCTTTTGTGTACACTCCTGGTTACTTTCATTACTAAATTGGCAGTGCATCTTACAGTCAATGAGGTCTTCAAATCTGAGAAATACAAGATGTGTGGCCCTTGCACACATGGCTCCTGCAGCCCTCTGGGCCTTTGCTCCGAGGGCAGGGATATGTCTGCTTTGCCCGTGTTGGACCTCAGATGCTCACCTAGCCCCTGTGTTCAAGACATATTTGTTGACTGGAACAAATGACTGGAAGCTGTTCCTTCTGCCTGGAATTCTCCCAACCCCTGCCTGGCTGGCAAGTTTCTTTGCAGTCTCATCTCCAGTACCTCCTATTCAACACAGCCTTTCTCAGTCCCCCAGGCTGACTTAGGTCTTCCTCTTCTCTTTTTTAAACCTCTGTATTCTATAGCCTGGCATGGTGTAGATGCAAAGTCAGTGCCCAAAGAATGTTTATTGAATAAGCGAATGAATGTTCAGCCACATCTGTTCTGGCTCCCTCCAACCCCTTGCCTTTGTGGGCTGTTCACATCTTTACGCCTTGTCCTGGCTCTCCTCCACACCCAGAACCCCCTTTTCCTTCTCATCACCACTGTAAACCCTGCCCATCCTCTGAGTGCCATCTAATTGGCATCTTCTTGAACTCTCTCTTAATCCATTAAGACAATAGGATTTCTTCCCTTTGAATCACAGAGGACCTCCTTGATCTATACTTCCATGGTCCTTATCTTACTGCCCTGAAGTAGAGTAGAATTGCACTTGTCATATCCCACTGGCAGGTCCTCTGTCAGGTCCTTTACATCAGCTAGCCCTGGTTGCGAGAGATAGAGTGAGGCTCAGCTTCCTCTGAGTTGTGGAGGTTTACAGGAGCCCTGTGAACCAATGAAGACTAGACTCCCAGCCATCCACCCAGCCAGGCCTCTCTGAGTTCTGGAACACCCTGTAGGGTCCTGTGCAGTTCTAGTACTGAGAGATCGCATCACCTCCCTAGGTGACCTCATTGCCTCCTAGGGCACCTTATCACCTTAACAGTCAACATCTCTTGTTCCTGCCTCTGTGATCCACCATTATGGTGACCTAGCCACTACCTGACTCTACTATTCACTAACTCCTCTCTACTTCATGGCTTCTGTTTACCCATTCATTAATTTAATCGTATTTATGGCCTACCATATGCCAGGTACAATTCTACAAGCTCAGGATGCATCAGTGACTTAAAAAGGACAAAAATTCCTGCTCTCACAGAGCTCATCTTTGATCTTACAGTCCACCCCATTGCGTCTATTTGCTCATGAACTGTGCTTCTCCAAGCCTCTGCTTACTGCCCTCTTAGTGGGTGTTTTTGGATTCAGCCCCCACTGCCAGTGACTTTCCCCATGAGAGAGGATGGCACTAATTCAGTTGGCCACGGACACTCTGATGCCAGGCCACCTAATGTGCTGCAGGCCTGTTAAGAAACCAGCTGTTCATTGGTCAGGCATTTATCTCTGGTCTAGTCAGCTGTGGTCAGCTTTTCTCAGAAGGTGTGGATGATCCTTAGAATTTAATAGACTCTCTGGTCCACTCTTGTGCTTCCACTCTTGTGCTTTCCATGTAGTCAGGGAAAGAGCACAGTCCTAGTTCCTTGCCTGCCCCAGTGATGGTGTGCAGGGAATATCTGCTCAGTTGAGTCCACCCAACAATAGGCCTCTCTATGTTTTCCTTAGAGGGGGAATGAATATCTTATCCCGCAGTCTGTGGATCTGGAGTGTGTGAAATACTGTGTGGTGTATGATTACAACACCTGGTCCCTGAAGATACACTTAAAAGATGACAACAATACAGACTCTGATGATTCTGGCCAAGGTGGGTTTTTATAAGAGCAGCAAGAATGCTAGTTAACAGTTACGGAACACTTTTACTATGTGCCAGGCACACCTGGGTCAGTTCATGTAACCTGCAGAACAACCTGATGAAGATGCTATGTCAAGAGCTGGGAGGGGTCTGAGGTTTACCCTCCTTGCAAGATGACAAAGTAGCCTGCCACAGTCCCATGGATACTGGCAGAGATTCCTGGGTCAGAGACAAAGGACTGTATCATTCAGAGCAACAGAAGTAGCCAGAATGTCATTATTTTCCTGCACTGGTTCTTCAAGCCCCAGTTCTCACAGGGTGACATGAAGAGGGCCAGATGACACCTCTACGTAGAGTGGGTTTCTTTATAGGAGAAAAAATCCTGACCTTACGGGACCTGAATCTTTTATAATGGACAAAAAAGAGAGAGAAACTGTCTATCTTCAAGACAGCTATACAGATATCTTGAAAAGATAGCCTGGAGCAAAGGCAGCCAGCACCTTTGTTCATAGGACATGCAGGGGCATAGGACCTTGGAGAATTGTCTTCTAATAGGTAACGTTACCCCCCATTTTATAGATGGGAAAATGGGGGCTCAGAAAGGTTAAGTAACTCATCCAAGGTCCCACACCTAGAAGATTAGTTATCCATTGCAAATTACCCCAAAACTCAGCAACTTAGCAAACATTAACCATCTCACAGTTTCTGTGGGTCTAGAATTCAGGTGCAGCTTAGCTGGGAGGTTCAGGCACAGGGTTTCTTCTAAGGTTGTGATCAAAATTTTAGCCAGGGCTGTTGTCATCTGGAGATTTGCACCAGGATGCTTGGTATCCAAGATGAGTCACTCACATGGCTATAGCCAGGGGGCCTTAGTTTCATTCTGGCTGTCAGCGGGGGCCTCTTTTCCTTCCCCATGGGGACCTCTTCGTAGGGCTGCTTGAACGGCCTCACATGTCAGCTGTTTGCCACAGAGCAAGTGATCTGAGAGAGAGGGAGGATGGCAGGGTGGAGGATGGGGGGAAGGGGTAGCCACCTGCCTTTTGTGACCTAGTCTTGGGACCTAGTCCGCCACATTAGAGGTAGGTCACTAAGTCCAGCTCACTCTCAAAGGGAGGGCAGTTAGGCTTGACCTTTTAAAGGGAGGCATTTGAAAGAATCTGTGGACGTGTTTTTAAACCACCACACCTAGTAAGTGGTGGGCCAGGACTCAAACCCAGGCAGTTTGGCTCTGTCCTGTTTCCTGAGGCTTGGATTGTGATGCTAGAGAGCAAAACAAAGCCACTCTAGCCCCAACATGAGTGTTCAGACATTGTCAGTTCCAGTGTGCTTGCCTGAACCTCTGAGGTTCCTCTGTGCTTTCCATTTGGCCCTAGTTTTGAGCTGACCACTCCTTGCCATTGGCCTGGGGGGCTGTGCTTCCCATGGCTCAGTAGCTAATCAGTTCCAGAGGCTGGGGTGCTCACACTGCCACTGGGTGGCGCTAAGCTCCCGCGCTTCTAACACCAGCCTGCCGACTTTCTTCCCAGGAGGTCCTTGGCCAGGAATTATTCCTTCTTCCCTAAGCCCATCCTGGTCCCCAAGGAAATCTGGGCATGGAGGGTGCCTTCATCACATCCTAGAAATGGGTACAAGGTGTAGGTGTATGTGTCGTCCTTTCCTGCGGGCCTCCTGGTAAGGTGTAACTCAGCCATGTGGCCTTTTCTTATGGACCTTTGTCTTTGCTGTGTCTGCAGCCAAAATGCCCATGGCTGGTGGAAGTTGTGAGTGGTTCTCTGCACCTGGCAGTGCACAGTGATTGCTCATGGGGAACTCAGCGTTGTGCACTCCTGCCTGGGCTCCTCACCTGGACTCCCATGGGTGCTGCTGAGGCCCTGGGCTCTGCTGCATCTCCCCTCTATCTCCACCTCCTCTGCCATGGGGGCCTTAGAATTCCTAGTGGGAAGTGGGACACAAGCTGTTTCAGCAGTCCCTCCCAGTCCCCATCCCGGTCCCAGGCCACTTCGTCCTGAGCAGCCCCTGATGGAATTGCCCTTGTCTTCCTGAACACAAACTCAATATAGAAGTCAGAGGCCATGCCTTTCCCATTCTGCTTTTATATGGCTCTTCCAATCTGCTACACAGTATTTCTCTTTCTGGGTCAGATCCTGGCCTCAGGATATCTTGGCTTAGCCTTAATTATGCAAATTTCCTGTCACATATATCTAATTTACATACAGTCTAATAGTAATTTTGTAGATCAATGAAGGCATTTAAGATTAAACTGATGTCAGAACCACAATGAGATATCACTTCACGTCTGCTGGGATGGCCATAATAAAAAAGACAGATAATAACAAGTGCTGGTGAGAATGTGGAGAACTGGAACCCTCACACACTGCTGACCAGAAAGTGAAATGGTGCAGCTGCTTCAGAAAACAGTTTGGTTTACGTCTGCTGGGATGGCCATAATAAAAAAGACAGATAATAACAAGTGCTGGTGAGAATGTGGAGAACTGGAACCCTCACACACTGCTGACCAGAAAGTGAAATGGTGCAGCTGCTTCAGAAAACAGTTTGGTTTACCCACAATAAATGAAAACACATCCACATAAGAACTTGAACATGAATGTTCATGGTGGCATTACTCATAATAGCCAAAAAATGGAAACAGCCCAAATATTAGTCAGCTGATGAATGGATAAAACAAAATGTGGTAAATCCATACAATGAAATATTACTCAGACATAACAAGGAGTGAAGTATTGATACACGCTGGTACACAGAGGAACATTGAAGAGATTATGGTAAGTGATAGAAGCCAGTCACACAACATCACATATTAACTATATGATTCCATTTTTGTGAGATGTCCAGAATAGGCAAATCCATAGAGACTAGAGCTGGGAGTTTGAGGGGAATTGGTGGAGTGACTGCTAAAAGGTACAGGATTTTTTTTTTTTTTTTTTTGGTGTGATGAAAATGTTCTAAAATTGATTGTGGTGATGGTTACACAACTCTAAAAGCCATTGAATTGTGCACTATAAATGGGCAAATTGCATGATATACAACATGCGGTATATATATGGTATATGTATATATCTCAGAGTTTACAGGGGAAAAAAGATCAACTTGGTGGTCAGTTGCTTTTTAAATTTTAATTGGAATACTCATCTCAGTTTATGCTTGCTTCAGCTTCCTAAATAATTGCTTTTCTGAAGGAGGTGGCCATCCCTCCAGCTCTAGACAAATGGTGAGGACACAAGAGACATTCATCTCTCTGGTCTCCACACTTAGAACTGGTGCCAGGAGCCGCCCTTGAATGTGGCAGGATCCTGACCCACCTTACCCGCCACCCCGTCTGGATCCTGAAAGGGGGCTATGAGCGTTTCTCGGCCATGTATCACTTCTTCCGGACCCAGAAGATCATCTGGATGCCCCAGGTAAGGCAGAGTGCTGAGCACAGGCAGGCTCAGGTGGGAAGCATGGGCCTGGGGGTTGAGGGGTAGGGGGCAAATAGGAGAAAGAGGGGAAGGGGACAGAGGACATGGAGGAGATAGAGGAGACTGGGATGAATGTGGGGCACTTAGCTTCCTGGAGCGAAGGCTGAAGAATGAGGAGTTTGCAAGGAAGAGATCTGGCTGAAGGGTGTGTAAGGCAAGCACTGGCTGTGCAGTGATTCTCAGGCAGGGGCCGGTCCCTGGAGGCGTTCTGTACATCAGTGTGTGATTTACTGAGGAGTCTGAACACTGGAATGTAAACATGGAGTGGTTTCATTTTTCCAGTTGCCTTCCGCTGTGCTCATTTCTGCTCTTAGCAACATCTTGGGCAGATTCCATATTTTCTGGCCACCTTTGGTTATGAAAAATTTCAATCTAAGTCATAGTGTATAAAATGACTGGAGAAATATTGAACGTTCACTGGATATTTGCTGATATTAAGGAATTGTCATTTTTTTAAATAATGCGATGACATTATTATGGTTATGTTTTGAGAAATATGAGTCCCTGCATTATAGAGATACAGAATGAAATATTTATGGGTAAAATGATATGGTGTCTGGAATTTCCTTCAAAATAATCTGCAGTGGGTTGGGGAGTTGGCAGGGGTATAGATGAAACAAAATTGGCCATGGGTTGATAGTGTTTGAAGGTGGGTGATAGAGGGGTTTATAATACTATTCTTTCTACTTTTGTATATTTTAAAAATAATTTTATTTTATTTTATTTTATTTTTTTTTGTCTTTTGTCTTTTTCCGTGTCCGGCAACGGATCGCAACCCTCAGTGTTGCCCCCGCACCGGACCGGGGACCGGCAACGGGACCGCAACCCTC